GTCCAACGTATACAAAACAGTCTAACAAAGTCAAATTGCATGAGGACACTTGTATTTTCAATGGCAATGTTTAAAAACTGATTGTACAACATTTCATAATTCAGGTGTCAGGTCCTGGAGCTAGGAAAGGTCGATCAGCTTGAAAAATTTATGTCCCTTGCAGGGGTTCACCCCCCAAAAAAGGCTAAGGTTGGCAGTGTTTTCCAGGGTCGTTCGAGAAACAGGAAATACAAATTCTTAGGCCTTAGCTGTGGACAGAAAAGGGGGAGGAATAGAGTGACCTTAGAAAATTTTCTAGTTCCTGGAAGGAGTTTTAAATACAGAGTGAGGTACGGATAGACCCTGGAAGACCCTCTAGTTCTTCCTCCAATAAATACTGAATACCTAAAGCTAACCTTTACCTGTGACATAAGGTCAACCACAATGGCATTCTGGTAAAGGACTTCCCATTTCCGTTTTTATTAGAAGCCATGTTGCAGCTTGAAGAATAACGACTCTTTCGTAAAATACATCATATATATCAGCTGCTAAAAGCTTAGGATGATGTTCCATGCACAAATAGCTGACAGAAGCTGTTAGGCCTAGGAAAAAAATGTTGTGTTTCCTGTTTCAGTCCTGAAGTAGGTACAAATGTAGGTACGGATTATGTTTTTTTAAGACTTTGGCAATCTCTAATGATCAAAACTTTTACAATACAGTTTAACAAATTTGAAAGTAAAACTTAAATTGCAATGTCAATGTTGGAAAACCAACATTTACAGTTCAACATTTCATCACTTATATATCATGGAGCTGGAAAAGGTTGATCAGCTCGAAAAATTTAGTTCCTCTTGCAGAGATGGCCACACACAAAAAAAGGCTAGTTTTTTCTAGGGTCGGTTGGTAAACAGGAAACACAACTGTTACATTTTTTTCCTAGGCCCTAAGTAAGGTGTAAGCAACGTGCCATGGGGCTGGCATGAGAAGAGGGGCCACTATGAAGGGTCCTGGCACTGTTCCATAATGTCTCACAACATTCCAAGATCAATGCATTAACTTACACAGGAGAAATGTCTCTGTGCTTCTGTTTATAGCAAAGTGATAGGAGGGGATGTATTACACGTGTGCTCCCCGATTCCCCAAATTACGTTTTGGAAAGGTACACCTGCGTCAGTCATTCTGCGCATAGAACTTGATGACAATACATAGTGCACTGTAGCCATTGAAGACAAAAAGGGATCATGTAACACATTGTTAAGGAGCTTGTTATGTTGACAATACATTAGTGTACTGTAACGGTTGAAGACAGATTTGTCGGAACATGTAACATTATTAAGCAGCTTGTTATATATTGTAGGCTTTTATAATTATAATTATATATTTGCTAGTTACTGAGGTTTGGTGTTGGTTGGTTGGTTGGTTGGTTGGTTGGTTGGTTGGTTGGTTGGTTGGTTGGTTGGCTGGCTGGTCGGTCGGTCGGTCGGTCGGTTGCTTGGTTGGTTGGTTGGTTGGTTGGTTGGTTGGTTGGTTGGTTGGTTGGTTGGTTGGCTGGCTGGTTGATTGGTCGGTCGGTCGGTCGGTCGGTCGGTCGGTCGGTCGGTCGGTCGGTTGCTTGGTTTGATGTCGTCCATTTTATGTTACCGAGCTAACCAACCATGCAAGCATAAAAGAAAGTTTACTTCAGCTAGCTTCATGATTAATGGCCGTAAGTTCAAGTTCAGGCATATCTCATGAGTGAGTTAAATCATATGTTATATAGGAGTCTGGCAGGCATTATAAGTACAGTAAATCACAATCTGCCGACTTTCTTTTTGCTGCACCTGCCACCAACGCAAACATATAGTTCCATGAACAATTATATTACCTTGTCCATTTTTCTCAGATGGCATACTTTTGGGATGGCATACTTACCGTGAACATTAGGTTATTTTACAGTACTTGTCTGTGTGGAAATTAGTGGCCTCGCATTCTTTTCACGTTTGTCAGCCCTAATACTATAGTAATAGTAATACACTGATGCTTCACAATGGGGACTTGAAATTCCTGTCACATGCATGCATGTTTTAAGGAAGGAGAAACTTTGCATCCTTGTCAAGTAGTAGTAATTAAGCTAACTATAACATAATAAAGGAATACCTGATAATGCATTTTGTTGAAAGCCCGACTTTGTTCTATTTCTTTAAAATGCTTCAAACAAAAGAAAATCTTACCAAACATTCCTTTAGATACAACATTAGACTGTAAAGTTTGGCCCATTATCTTATTACTTAGTGTATGTCAAACAAATGTGACATGAATGTTTTATATCTTGATGGCAGCAAAATTGTCTTTAGTATAGTACGAAATGATTAGGTAAGCCAATGAATTGCTTTTAGTGCACTTGTTTGACCCAATACATCAATTTAGGAGTTGTTAGCCATTACTGACAGGATGCAGTGAAGGAGGTATACAGGGAAGACCATTTGTCATCCATGACCCAGACAGATTGGACGGCGCTCTCCATAACTAAAGAAGAGGATAAATTAGTTTCAGGTCCGACCTTGGGACCCTGTTCAATGTCAAATTTATGTCCTGAATCATGGGGTTTCTTTGTCAAATTATTTTCTTAATTGAGTTTATAACTCACTGCAGTCGTCACTGTACCGGATACAAAATGTGTTTTAAAGAACGTGAACCTTTGTTTGTATGCCCATCTAAGTTGGAAAGCCATTAACTTAAGGCTAAGGGAAAAATGTTGTGTTTCCTGTTTCAGTTCTGAAAAAAATAGTCTATAGGTAGGGATTACCTTTTTTTGTTTTGTTTTTTTGTTTCTTAGACTTTCTAGTGACCCAACTTGTACAATTTTCAAATTGTCAACTACACAAGGTCAATCAGCTAGAAAAATGCATGTCCCTTGCACGGGACGTTTTTTTCTGGGGACAGTCGAGAAACAGGAAACACATTACTATTCCTAGACCTAAGCACATTGATAGGTTTTTGGTACCAATTTATGTGTGCTGTTGCCATTGCACTTAGGGCAGTAAGATAACAGCTTTGGTATATATGTCCAGATTGGACAGCATCCATTCATAAATGCTGTGGAAGTAAAGTACCATAATTGGTTTAAGGCTTTAACTTGTAAGAAATACAAGTACAACCTATATTTCATTGACTTTACCTCCGAGGCAGTTTGGTGAAATGCTGACCCATTGAACTCTGCTTCAAGTCATTCTTAATACTTTGCATCTTAGATACGATGAAATTTCATGCCTAGGAATTAAATGAATACTGTAAATTGGGCACAAGATCCCTATTTCTCACAACATCTCACAAGACATTAGGACTGGACTGGCTACTGACCTAGTTTACATGCATGGTCACATTTTGTCTGGAACAGGCCAAGTTTATAGTTATCCCCAGTAAGGCCCCTACACCCTCCCCCATGCCATAATAGTTATAAGACGCCTTCAAGAAATCCTTGGATCACATGAATCCAGGGCTGTCCCAAAATCTAATTACTTTTACCTAAGTCCCGGTCACATACATTAATTTTTTGTACATGTGCATCATGCTATGCATCCACTGTGATTGTGTCATAATATGATATGATTGTCATAGATTTTAGAAGAAATGGGTGCAGTTTGAACATTTTTGCGGAAGAATATCATATGTGCACATACATGACTTGTGGTATGATGATTGTATTTGATGTGCTTTAGGACAGTCACTCATCTACCATAAAAGACCCATTTTGGATTGATAAAATCCATTTATTATCAAGTTTCCTGTTCACCAAAATAACATTACCTCCTGCTTTGCAGTAAAACTAAGAATTAAGAAGAACTAACTTACAGATCTTGGCTCATTGTGTGAGCTTGGCAGTGTCAAAATAGACTCAAGTATCTGTCTTTTAGAGTGATCAGGTCCAGTTGTCTTATTCACCGACATAACATGACCTCATGCGAAGAAGAAAGTACAGATCTTTGGTTCATTGTAAGCAATGGCATTTTCAAGGCAAACTCAAGTTCCTGTCCTTTAGCCGTGATCAGGTCCCATCTGACTCCTAAACTGCAGCTGATTTATGTCCACAATAGCCAGAGTTTGGTCTGGAGCATCTGGTCTTTGTGAAACTGAACTTGTCCCATTGGGGATAACTGCCCAATTAAGTGTTTTGAAAGACATTTCTTGCCTGGTGATTTTCTTGGCTGTTTTCTTGACCAATCTTGCTGATCTTATAATGGGCAGATGATTGAATTCCTCCCTCCCACACCTGGGGGAAGGTGACCTTTGGTCGCCTTGGGACTTTGTGCACAGAACTTCCTTTATTATAGAGTCTTCAGACTGATAAAACCATGATTCTTATTCTTCCTTGCCCTGGACAGTAGATTGTATCTTGATACAGTGTGTGTGTGAAGGATTTTGGTCTTGGCAATAATGTGAAGGATATCAGTGAGTTTGGAGTCTGGACTTTGTCTGAAGTCATCTTTAGAGAGTTTGCCATGTGGTTCCCCAGTCAGTAGTATTATTTGACACATCTATCAGTTCACAAAGTGGTCTGACTCTGAGATTGAAAGAAAATATTCGGCTAACTACCTGTTTAAAATCTCTAATACACTTTAAATCATGAACAATTAAAATAACATAAACTCGTTATTCAATATCCTCGGGGGAGGCTATGTCATTCAAAATAGAAAATGATAAGTAAAATAAAAACTATTAAAAGAGGGGGTTGTTCATCAGAAATATAGCAAACTGTTCCACGAGAATTTTTTCAAAACATGTAAACTTGAATTTCTAATTTCATTGGCTAGTCACACTTACATGTTCTTCTTAGGAAACCCAAAACTTATTTCAACTCCACATAATCACTGAACAAATCCTAATGGTGTTATCCTTAAATGAAATTTAATGTGTCACTACAAATAGTCTATCCTTACTGAATGCTAAAGATACAATTAAGGTAGCATTTCCATGAATTTCAATTTTCTACCTAGAAATGTCTGAAGTGGTAATTCTTTGCCTTTGTCTTTTTTCTATCGCAGCCTCCTTCTACGGCGCCGACCACATCCACGTGAAGATTGACGACGCCAACAGTCAGACGGACTGCTACCTCCGCTTCCGCACCAGCCAGAGGAACGGCCTGGTCCTGCTCGCTGAGGGGAAGACGGACTACCTGATCGTGGAGCTGAACGCCGGGAGGGTCCGGATCAGGATAGATTTGGGAGGAGGGGAGGTCCTGCAGGAGTCCAGACCTGGCATCAGGGTCAACGACCTGGAGTGGCACGAGGTCTGTATCTTTACAATGTATATCATACCCTGGCCGTGATAACCTTTGATAACGGTGTTCTGGAGCGGGCCGTACTTTACGGAATAATTCGGACGCATTTCGCCTGTGCCATGTGCATTGCTTTCAAAAATTTGAATACCGGATTTGGCACACCAGCTTCACAGGCACCTGGTGTGGCAGTAGCTGGCTATTTTACACCGGACAACCTGTTACACCCATACCCAATCTTGCACATTTGTTTGGAGGATCCTCGTTTAAAGCTTTCTAGTGATGATGCCCCAACTCTGTGGTTGGTGGCAACGAGTTCCACTCCACAATAGTTCTTGGAGTTTTTGAACACCTCAATTCTTGGTTGGTAACTCTGATACTTCAAAGCATGACTGTTTCTTGTTTTATTTTAGGGCTGGCATACTTATTAGTGGTTGGTATGTCCACCAGTATAATAGTCATTTTGTATATCATGCATCATCTGGACATTTTTTCGTCTGTCTTCCAGGTCAGGGTGAAACGGCAGGCAGAGAAGGTGTCATTGATCGTGGACCAGAAGTACACGTCAACTGTGAACACGCCGGTGGGGTTCTACGAACTCAACATCCACAACGGCTTTTACGTGGGCGGGGACGGGACACACCACTCACGCTACCTCAGTTCGTCACAGCCTTTCCGAGGATGTATTTCCGACGCAACGTTCAACGGCTATAACCTACTTAGCTCCCTTGTGTCGAGCGAGGAAAGGATAGTTTCAGGAGTCACGCCTGGTTGCAGCAGGGAATTCTTTGTGACGTCAGAAGACCCTATGTCTTTTTTAAGTGACACTTCTTACATTGCCCTGGAAAAGTGGAGTTCGGTAGAGTCAGGCTCCTTTGAGTGCGTGTTCAAGACCGTCGCCAAGAGTGGGATTTTACTGTACGGCTCGGGTGCGCCACTCAGTTCTGACTTCATCGCGTTGGAACTAAATGGAGGTCGGGTGAACATCCTAATGGATAAAGGAAATGGAATGATTGAATTTGCATCCAAGTATTACGTCAGTGACGGAGTATGGCACAGTATAGAATTCAGATTCACAGCAACCTTCTTCGAGTTGACTATTGACCTGAAGCCGGAAACAATGCAGGTGGACTGGGGAGACAATCGTTACTTGGATTTACTGAGTTACACTTTCATCGGAGGCGTAAACACTAACATGCGCTTGTCCGCACGGGGAGATGGTCTGTCGTCGATTTTGGACCGACAAGACAGGGGAGGGTCTTACATTGGTTGCATGAAAAACCTGAAGGTCAACAAACAAGAGGTCACATTGCGGGACGCACTGGCCACGGAAAGGCTGGACATCGTATGTGCTACCCCCGAGTTTCCAACTGTGCCAACGACCGTAATGTCCTCCACAATTTCACAGGAAGAGGCCCGTGCAGAAATTTCCGACAGCTATATGACAATAAATCCTCTTTCTGTGGAAGAAGGGGGGCGAGCTAGTCTTAGTACTGACAACATCATGATCAACGTTGATCTCAAGAGCATCGGCATTCGCTACTCTGGAGTTCTGATCAAGGTTACAAAACCACCAAAGCATGGAAAAATTGGTCAGAATGTTGCTGGAAGGACAGCAAGCCAACAGTTTACCCTGTTGGACCTACAAAACGCTTTTATTTATTACGAGCACGATGGAACCGAGACTAGAAAGGACAGGATTCACTTCAGACTGTTCTTTCTAGCCAACGAAGACAAAGTTCCACCCTCCCTGCTCCGCGAGGAGGGGTATGTGATAAAGATAGAAGTCACACCAACAAACGATGCCCCCAAAATAAATTTGCCGACAGACAACGTATTCTCACTGATTAAGAACACCAAAAGGACTTTGACTCCAGAGGTGTTGTCGGCAGATGATCCAGATTCTGAGTCATCAACACTTGTATTTTCTGTCCTTAACAGTCCTGTACAGCAGGAGGACACTGGTTACTTGGAACGATCAGACGATCCAGGTGTAAGTATCGACACCTTTACTCAGGAAGACATAAACTTGGGCAAAATATCTTATGTACATCAGGGACCAAAACACTCGAGGCTGGCCCTACGAGTGAGCGACAAAGAGAAAATTAGTAGTACGGCGGTGTTGCGTATTATCGCGTTAGATCTAGAACTGAAGGAAAAGGTCAACCTGGGTTTGGAGGTCACCCGTGGAGGCTTCTCTCTCATCACGCCCGACGTTCTGTCGCTCGAAACAAACTCACCAGAACAGGATTACCGGTTAGGTACGACATTGTCAGGGCACCACTGCAAGGTGAGCTGCAGAGGTTGCAGTCGGACGGTGTATGGAGACCTGTTACATCCTTCACACAGAAGAACATGCAGAGGAAGAAGGTTCGATACTACAGTTCGGACCCTCTCCTTGTGGAAAGAAAGTTACCCACGGACAGCTTCGCTTTCACTGCAACCTGTGAGGGGGTGAAAACTGAGGAGTTTGATTTCAATCTCAGGATACCTCCTGTGAAGATCAAACTGGTACAAAATGAGCAGTTGGTATTAAAACATATCAGGGAGAAAGCACTTTCCAGTAGGAATCTCCTGACAGTCCTAGAAAACATCGCCTCGTTTGACCCAGATAATGTTTTCTACACCGTAGTGAAAAATCCAGAGAAGGGAGAACTACAGAGAGTGTTTGGTAACTCAAAAGAGGTGGTATCAGAAAGGACTAACTTCTCACAACTCGACATAGAAGAAGAAAGAGTGTCCTATGCCCTTGAGAGTACTGTAAGGACAGAAATAAGTGACTCCTTTGTATTTGAGATTTCTGCATATGGTGCGGTTTCCTCTCTCTTTCAGTTCAATATATCGTACATTCCCGACCGTGACAGTATTTTTGTAACCAATGCAGGCATGGTTGTATCTGAAGGAGAAGGCAAACTTCTCAAACCCGAGTTTCTTAAAGTCGAAACCTTGAATACTGATAGGTTTCGATATTCCGTAACCAGAGGTCCAAAACATGGGAAGCTTCAGTTGATTGACCCTCAATCGGGGGAGGTCGCCGTAGATAAAGCCCAGAGGTTCACCAACCAGGACATTGCCAATCAGGCTGTTTTGTACATCCACGACGATTCAGAAAGCGGCGACGACTCCTTTACTTTCCAAGCAGTCCCTATTGTTGGAACTGCCAAGTCCACTTACAATGACACATTCCTGATTACGGTGAAGCTGAAAAATGATCAGGCACCGGAACGCGTCGTGAACAAAGTGGTGCAGGTGGTCACGGGAGGGGAGAAACTGATAACGACAAACGAGTTGAAGTATTCAGACCCTGACTCCGGGTATGACGACTCAAAACTTTTGTACTTTCTACTGGGAATTCCCAATGGAGATGTGTTTTATACCAACGACACAAGCACGTCAATAGTTACATTCTCTCAGCTGGCCTTAGAGCAGAGAAGAGTGATATTCAGGCACAGTGGCTCGTCATATGGCAGGGGGGTGATCCGTGTAACAGACGGTCAGTTTTACTCTACTGGGCTACTCGAGGTCCGGGCATCAAGCCCGTTCATTTCCATTGTGAACAACACAGGGATTGTTGTGCAGAAGGGAAATAGATTAGCAATTACATCAGACAATCTGGCTGCCATAACAAACATCAATGCGGGCAGAGATGACATAGTGTATGTAGTCACTTCTGGCCCTAGAGAGGGCACACTGGACAAGGATGGTAAAAAGGTAACACAGTTCACACAAAGGGATTTATACGAATCAAGGATTGTGTACGAACATTCTGACGGCGACGGACTCAGGGATGATTTCAACTTTACTATCAAGGTCAAAGAAACAGAGTTCAAGAGCAGATTCAAGGTCAGAGCCTTCCTGGCAAGTTACCAAAAGCCACCAAAGGTTGGCACTTTGAAACCCCTTGTCGTAAAAGAAGGAAAGCTGGCAGTTATAACCAGCCAGATCTTGAGTGTGACACATCCGGACAGCACTCCACAGGAAATCGTCTTCACTGTTACGGAGGCTCCAAAGTTTGGATACCTGGAGATGATGGAATCCTTCACAGACTTTGACTACCAGGGGGATGAGGCCACAGCAGAGGAGGAGAGTGAGAGAATGATGACCTTTACACAGCAGGACGTGAATGACGGAAGGTTGCAGTATGTTCAAACCGCCTCCAACCAGCTCTCAGACAGGTTGGTAGTCACAGGCTATTTAAACTTTAACAAAGTTTAACATCCTCTACAAAAAATGGACATGTTCATGGAACTATACGTTCGCTGTGGCGGCAAGTGTAGCAAAAAGAATGTCTGCAAATTGTAAACAGTAATGATAAGTGCACAGTACAGGAAATCAAAAATATAAAAGTACCACAAAAAAATCGTGCTTTACCATAGTAGTTCTGATACTGTCTGAATGCGGTAAACATTAGTAATGTATTAGCATGGCGTCAATCTATGCCAACAGTATTGCCTTTCCTGACAGTGATATGTTCACTAAGGAATATGATGGGCTATTATAGGAGTACAGTGGGCATTGATTGAACTTGTGTTGTTTCTAGGTTTGTCCTGGATGTGTCCAACGGGATCCTGACGTCACGAGACCTGGTGTTTGAAGTGGAGATTGTTCCCAAGCTGGTGCCAGTCGAAGTGCACAACTTCACCATCCTGGAGGGCGCGTCCACCCCACTGGTGGAGAACATCATCAGGGTGTCCAACAGGCACTTTGTGGGACTGGCCTGGGTGTACGAGTTGTTGGAGGGACCATCCAGCGGCCAGATCGAGAGTACAAGAGGACCTGGAGTGGCCCTGAGGAGTTTTACCAGTGATCAGGTACAGACTAGCTCATAACGGATGGAAAACATGTGCAAATGTTCATATAGAATACAACACAGCGTATTCCGTATCATACAAGGTAGCAGCCCGACTGTGAGTCGGATCGCCTGATTGCCGAAGGCCGGAGTGAGATCCGACCCAAGGGAGGGCTGGGACCGAGGGTAATGGGGAATACCCGGTGTTGTATTTCATTTATGTCATACCCACCCGAGAAAATGCGCCTTTTTATGCAAAATGTGCCAATATTTGGTGTCCCTAAACAAAAAAAATCCAACTACCTCAATTCCAACATCCTAATCAGGTATTCCCAGTTTGGAAAGTGGCAACGCAACTCAGGCAAAACGTGTTTGAATTATTCAGGATGTCTATATAGTCAGTCAAAGCTTCAAGCCACTTTTGAAATACCTTGTGCAAAGTATCAGTATCATGTTAAAACATGGAGGTGGTTTTATAGATCAGCAGATCAAAGAGAGGAGACTAATTTTTCTGTTGTATCTTACAGTCAGCCCTTCATCTAGATAGTAAAAAAATGTCCTAACAGGAATATTTTAGAGTTATAGGCATATTGTGTTTCCATCGCAACACTTTCACTGCATTTTTTGATTGGGGGGCAAACAGACGTGTCCAGTTGACGTTGATTCAGGGTATCATTATCCTAATGGTCCTGTAAATGAAGGTGTGAGGGGAGGGTCAGTGATTAGGGTCGGCCTTATTGGCTTCTACCTGCTGCCATCAAGGCAACAACGACACAAGATTCACTGTGCTACAGGAAAGGTCGATGTCAAGACCTTGGGATTAGCATTTATATGGACAGCATGCATCGATAAAAGGTGCAGGGAAAGTCTGTATAGTTTGTAAATTGCTACTTGTGTCAGAATGTTGGACAACAGTGATGGTCTCTTGATGCGCTGCCTGTTGCCTGGGCATTGGAGCCGTATTGAAAATCATTCTATGCGCATACGTGGGTATTATATAGAAAGGCTGAACTTTTCAACTCTGTCATGTTGAAGCCTGACAGGCATATTATAGTCCTGTTCTATTTTTATGTCCTCCCTTTATTGGATACAAGACAAGACATGCAATGACGGAAGATTATGACATGGGGTGTTCAGAAGTGTGTGTGTGCATGTGTACTACATTTGATCTCCAGAAGTTCACATATTATGTATGATATTTATGCTACAGGTACACCCATGAAAGTTGTAGCGAAGATGACTTTTACTTGCAGGTTAAATAGTCTATCACCTGACACAGCTCAATTTTAATTGTGATACGCATTTGATTGAACTTGCATTATATTGTATGAAGAGGCAAATAGAAGGTAATTTTCATTGATTCTGATTGGTGATCTCACTGTTTATCACGACTTTGTTTTGTTGTTATTCAGGTGAGGAAGCAGTTTGTGTTCTATGTGCACGACGGGGCGGACACGCTCCGTGACCAGTTCACCATCCGTGCCAACGCCACCGACGGCAGCACCTACAGCCTCCCGTACACCGTCTACGTCACGGTCACTCCCGTCAACGACGCCACCCCACAAGTCGTGGTCAACAACGGGCTGAGCGTGTGGGAGGGCTCCGTCACCGTGGTCACCACGGACGACCTGAGCGCCACCGACGCGGACTCCTCGGACGAGAACGTCGTGTTTGAGATCACGACGCCAAACAACGGGCGCATGGCGCTGAGATCCAAGCCTTGGCGGGAGATTTTGAACTTCACACAGGCGCTCCTGGAAAGGGAAGAAATCGTGTTTGTTCACACAGGTAAGATACATTGTACTCGCTCTCTTTGAAGCTGGAATTTTTATATTACATAACATACTATTATGAATGGTAGTTGAGCTATACTGAGCTATATGTTTACATCTGAAGTGATGTTTTAACCATTAATGTTGGATAGTTCTAAGTTGTTTCTCTCCTGGAAAGGGTAGAAATTGTGTTTGTTCACACAGGTAAGATACACACACTCTCTGAAGTTGGAATTTCTATATTAAATTTATTTATATGACATCATTATGTATGGTAGTTGAGCTACACTGTACTACACTGAAGAGTGATGTTTTAACCATTAATGTTTGATAAGTCTAAGTTGTTTCTCTCCTTTATGTTTGTTCACACAGGTAAGATACACGCTCGCTCTGAAGCTAGAATTTCTATATTCTCTTATGACATAATTACATTGTATGACTAGTAGTTGAGCTACATTGTATACTGAGCTAGCTATGTTTAGATCTAAGCTTTCTGAAGTAATGTTTTAACAATTAATGTTTGATGCTGCTCAGTTCTTTCTCTCCTGGAAAGGGGAGAAATTGTGTCTGTTCACACAAGTAGGATACACACTCTCTCTGAAGCCGGAATTTTTGTATTATAATGACATGATTATGAATGGTAGTGGAGCTATACTAAGATAGCTATGTATACATCTGAAGTGATGTTTTAATCATTAATGTTTGATACTTCTCATCAGTTCTTTTCAGCCAACTGCAACTGTATCAGCAGTGTTTTTGATTAAATGTAGTTAGTTGATTTTTTGCACTTCAAAAGTGGTCACACAAGCACCACTGAAAGTTTGATCACCAAGGTTATGTTTTGCACACGCAATGATGCACTCTACAGTCCTCTGAAAGGTGATATGTTTCTGCCTTCCATGTGTTAATATTAACACTTTCATGTTCAATATTTATTCCTTTACCTCGACCTTCATGGGGGCTCAAAAAGTACATGTTGGACTGCTTTTACATAAGGTGAAGGGGCTGCCCCAAGAGCGAAAATGCTTTTATTGAACTCTACTCTTTTCCCTGCTGAGGCAGCTATGGATAAATATACACCACATTTTGTATTCAATGAGATATGATTGATGAAACTGGGGCAGGGATGGGGTCAAAAGTAAGTTTGGTGCACTCCTGTCAAGGTTTTAGCCTTGAACTTTGGCACGTCTACTTGTCCTTGGTCAGGCCGTGCACATGTTGGCATCAGGATATAGTAATCCACAGAGTGTTAGTATCTAACAATCTAAGAGAAGCACTGTTATTATGTACATCGTGTCTAGAATACTTCTTTACAAACATCAGTGAGGCCACAACAATTTAATTTGTTGGTTCTTGGATATTTTATCTGAAAAAAATATGAAGCGACAAAACAGGTGAAGGCACCCTGTGGTAGCCTGAAATGTTGTAGGAGCCATGAAGTCAACGTATAGATGTACACGTATGTACTTATAGGCTGGGTTATAACTCATACTATGAATTTTGAACTTTTAATAAAAATGGAAATATGAGCAATATGAGTTGATTCAGAAACTAATTTTTTTTGGAAAATCAGAAAGAACTGAAGTGGCAAATCTGAGAACCAATTGCTAAAATTGGTGTGGCCTAAAGGAGTATCCCACCCTTTTCTAGTTGTGCAGTTGCCCTTAGTCACCTGGTAGAGTGCCTCACGAGGTGTTGAATGTTAGTGCTGGGTAATGTCAGACCCTTTCAGAGGTCAGAGCCAAGTTTAACACCAGGCAGAGACACTGTATATCTTAAGAAGTGAACTTGAGATGATACATGTAAACAGACCAGGTGAAAAATGAGGTGGCCACAGATGTGTAATGGAAGTCAGCTGGAAGCCACACCTGTCTTCACCGTGGGAGTGGGGAGGGGGGCATGTATGTCATGAGGGATGAGGGTAATACAATCATGTATATGGGCCAATCATCTCGCTATCACCAGTATGAACCAAAAAGAATTCATCTGAGATCTGATGACAGCTGGCGGCCAAAGGGAGTATACATGACGTGTTTGTGGAGGTTTATTGCAACATAATTGTGTTACAAAGAGCTACGTGAATGAGTGAGTGATTGAGTGAGTGAGTGTTGTGAAATTGGTAGTTATGTGTGAAGTTCAAAACTGTGTGTGCGTGTGCGCATGCATGCGTACATTTGAAGTGAGTGAGTGTTGTACAAATTGGTATCTTATGTAAGAAGTTCAAAGCTGTGTGTGTGTGCGCATGCCTGCGTACATTTGTACATACATGTATGTGCGTGCATGTTGTACATTTGTGTGTGTGTGTGTGTGTGTGTGTGTGCATAAGTGCATACATATGTGTGTATGATTTTGACAGATACTTAGTAACTGGAAAGACAATGACAATTCTTGTACTTGCATAATTATAGATTTCTGTTTTCTTTACTTTGCTTGGTCATTTGTTGAAATGTAAAGCATGCTCTGAGCCATCTTTAAACAGATGAAAACCACCTTAAGTCTGACCTTGGATATTATAACTGAAGACAGGTGCATGGGATGGTAATTTGAGTGTATAAAATTGAGTGATATACATTATGAAAGCAATTTAATTTGCCTCCCGTTGGTTGATTACCTTCAGTCGTGTGTATAACATGTCATGAGATCAATCACCATAACACTTTTATTGTCACAGAAGAGTTGCCTAATATTAGTTATTAGCAAAGTTAGTAGAGCACGTGAATATTTTTTATGTTGAACCAAGCATTTTGGAGCTGATTCAGAACCTGAATCTTTTCTTGTTTTCTTTTTTCACAAATCAGAAAAAAATTAAGTGACCAAATCCGAGAATTGATTAAATTAGTGTGGCCCTATTAATTTATCCTTATTTTAGCCTATTGAATGGGGATGAACACTACATGTTTGTCTATTGTAGAAGTTATCTGCTGTTACAGGTACTGTACTAAATTGTACGAGTGAATGTTTTGCACTGTTGGGAAAGTAGCTAATGATAGACTATTGATCGATCTTTATCATTACCTACATGTACATCCACATAAATTTTATGTTCAGTCAAGTGGGTAATGTGAAGTTTGTTTTAGAATCATGGGCGGAATTAATTCAATAGCATCTATCTTCTAGCATACATCTATCTTCAAGTTGTTCATATTTCATGCAGGCACCGCCTAACTTTCTGTACCAATTGACCTCATTATGTCCACAGGATGGATTCTCCCTCTGTGGTATCTGATCATTCTCCTTACAGATTCTTCCCAACGGTGAAAGAATTTTCCAGTAAATCTTTTTTTATCAGTCCTCGCAGAGAAGTGTATTGGAATACTTTAAGCCAAGCCTGTCGCCTGTCTATTCTGCATCAGTATTGGTATATTTATCACAGTGTGGAGTAGATGTTCATTCAGGCTTTAAAGAGTAATGTTGTCTCACCAGATGAGTGGAGAGCCAGCCATTGATTGGTTGACAGGAATGACCTGTGGATTCTTCAAATTTGCTCCTCATCTACCGTAAATCACTATGTTTGCGGTAGCAAAGTTCGCGGTCTGAGAAAAATGGACATGTTTGCAAAACTACATTGTATTTATACCTGTTTGTGGTGGTGGCAGGTGCAGCAAAAAAAGTCGGCAAATTATTTGTTCACAGTATTATGATAAGCTCGTGGTACAAAAGTGACCACGAAAACTGCGAATATAAAAGTACAGCAAAAAATTACTTATAGTATTCATGAACACTGAACTCCCAGCTCTACATGTACATTTGTAGGGACATGTATTTCGTACACTACATTGTTCTGTATAATTTCCTTGGTACAGTGTAAAAAGTGCTCTTCGTATCATACTCACTGTAGCCTTTTACAGTATCAGCCACAGTCCAACCTCTGTGAAGCCATTCCAAAGTGTAGTGCAAGTGATGGGAGTAACTGTTGTACCTCTGAATTACATGTGTATGTGCACTCTCGCACTGTGCACTGAACTATTGACTATAGTATAGTATAGGAGACAAGATGGGCTACGTAAGAGTTAAAAAAAAAAAGTTCTAAAACATCGATAAGTTTGTATGAGTTATACAAAAAAATTTGTTCTTGAGTCAAACAAACAACATTGAATGTAACCTCTAGCTAGCTGTGAGTGACAAACTTCTAGATTGACTGCTTTAAACCTGAGTCACATGAGGTCTGATTCAAATGACTGTGACTGAAAATGCCTAACCAGGCATGACTTTCCTCTGCTTATCTCAGTTCCACTTCACTGCAACTGCCTAACTGTGTGTTGTCATCTTTATTTGCAAGTGGCAGAAGCCTGCAAGTGTCCTGTTAGATTAACAAAACCAGTTAGGTGAAAAGCTGTGAAGTTCTGGGAACTAAAAGCTATTACTGAAGCTGGTAGTGCTGTGCCCCCTAACACCAGTTACTGGTACTGCATGTTACATGTTCAAGTTGAAGGTCTTGTTCCAAGTGCGTTTTAGCTTCTATGCTAGTGATATCAGTACAGGAGCCCAAAAGAATAAGATAATTTGTCAAGTCAAGCATTAAAGCTGTGATGTTCAGCAGACATGTAGATAAGAAGAGCTGATAAAGTTGAAGAAAATTTTAGCAACTGCCTACCATTAAATATTGTCTCCATACCCATGAACAAAGGAACACATCAATGTACAAATAATATGTATGCCATCCACAAATTCTTTCTGATACAATATTTGTTATTCCGCTCTGCTAAAAAAAATCCTAGCCGAGTGGCATAACAAATACGGATGGTACCGAGGCTAAATCTTTCGCACTCTGTGAGACAAAACTGTTATGTTACCTATATATATTGTACAAATTCTATATTGCCATGCCCCCAAGTCTAAATGCATCTCACTTCTTCTTCTTCTTGGTTACTGCCCAGCCCTACAGTGTAGGATTATTGGCAGCCGTTACGCATTGTTAATAACAATTGTGACCCAGTACATGAAAAAACAAAGGGAAAACAAGGATAACTGAGACGGGAACATAAAACAACTGATTTTGTGTGTGCTCAAGACGGG